TGTGTGTGTGTGTGTGTGTGTGTGTGTGTGTGTGTGTGTGTGTGTGTGTGTTCAGGGGCATGTTGGACTTGTACGGACGGACTTGCAATTGTGAAGCAGATTGTGAGGGCGGGGAAAATGATTGGGGCCAGAGAGAAATTCCGCGCAAGTGCAAGCGCGCGTGGGGGCGTATGTGTGTGCAGTTGTGTGCGTGTGTGCGTATACTGTGTCCTTCACGCACGCACCAGCAGCACACAAGTCATGAGACCCCTGCAGCTGACGAAGGTGGCACCGCGGCCGGCTGACACCCCACGCCAGGGGCTCATCCATCTGTACTGCCGCCCTCACGCCTGGCTGTCTCGCAACACATCCGCCCACGCACACCGTGCAGCCCCGATCCACCCCGCCCCGCCCACCGACCAACCAACAAGCCACTGTCCGCTCACCACTCCGCCTGGCGGCTCTTGTGGCACAGCTCCCCCATCATGCCGGATGACACCCGCACCCCCGCCAGCGCCCCCGCGGCGCGGGCCAGCGCGGGGTGGTAGTGGTCCCAGCACTTCTGCAGAGCCCTGCCGGTCGGCACGCGGGGCAGCGGCTCGCCCTCCCTGAAGCCGCACTCTGCATACTCGTTTGTCGCGGCCCTCGAGACGATCTCGTCCACGAGCGCGGCGCTGGCGGGGTCCCCCGTCGCGCGGAAGTCGGCGTCGGCGGCCAGCAGCACCCCCTGGACTTCCGCCCAGGCCGCGGGCTCCCTGTGCGCCAGGGTGGGGCTGCAGATGGCGCGGTGCTTCAGCCAGCGCAACCGCAGTGCCACAAATTCGGTGCGCGGCGGCGGCGATGGCGATGGCGAGGAGGATGCGCAGGTGGTGACCGCAGCGGCGGGGGGCTGCGGCGCAGCGGCGCTCGGGGGCGCTGCGGCGGCTGCCGGTTGGAGCGCCGCAGGGGCGTCGGCGTCGGCTGCGGATGTTCTGGCGGCGGCAGCGGCGTTGGATGGAGGCACCACAACGGGTGGCGCAATGGCAGCCCGGCCGCCGCCCTGCCGGAAGCCCCGGCGTCCGCGCAGAGCTGCGACTTGCTCGGTCAGATGGCGCGCCTCGGGGCTGCGCGTGGCCAGCAAATGGAAATGGACCTCCTGTGCTTAGGGCGTGGGTTTTGTTGGCGGCAGGGGGCATTGATCAGGTGGATGGGTGGATGCCCCGGGGGAACGCGTTGCAAATGTGTTGTGTTGGTGGGCGCGTGCGAGGGCCCCCATGGAATGCCAGGAGCCGCTATGGCAGTTTCAGGATTGTGGCGCACACTGCGGCGAATTCTAATGATGTTGCAGGACGCATGCGCTACGCGTTTGCGATCGCCCCACCTGCTGCACCGCGTCAAGCTGCTGGTGCATATCCGTGGCACCCGCGGTGTTTGAGCATCTTGCAGCCATGTGCCGCGCAGCTTCGAGCCTTGTCGCAAGCCCGGCATATTCCGAACACACGAGGGCGGCGTAGGCGAGGCCGTTGCCAGAGTCAAAAGCGATCCGAGACTGCGTTGCTTTGAAACGACTGGTTGAATTTCTCAAAGTGACATGCTTGGAGGTGCGTACAGCTGAGAACCTTTGATACGAGCTGCTGCACCAGGCCTGCTGCCAAGCGCGCAGCATGGCGGCAGTGGTCAGATGCGAAGAAAAGTCGGTTTTTCCATGCCTATAAGACGTACACATGAAAGTACAAGTGATCGTGAACAGCTTTGAGTGCAGTTTACGTTGACCGCATCTGCTGCCTTCTGGCCGGCTTCCCTCAACGCCAGGCACAGTTGTGAAGTGGTTTTCGAGATGCTTGGCAAGGGGAAACTGATGTTACAACCCCAAAAGGCAGATATTCACAACATGAATGAGCTCAAGCATTGCGCCCCCGCCCCCCTGCCTAGCCGGGCAGCCCGGTACAGACGCGCATCACTATGGTAATAAGAGTGGATGCCGAGGTTGCACAAAAACACGGCCCAGCGCCTGTGCATCCTGTGCATGTGCATTCAACAGCCTCATGGGTGCTTGACACAAGCGAAAATCACCAGTCATTATTGCCCCTGGTCAAGGCATGCGCTCGACACCGCCCGCCACGCCCGGGGGTGACAGATCAGACATCAAGATAGGGCACGAGCGGCTCGGGCGCAAGGGGCGCCGGCAGTGAGGCAACCAAATGGTTTGCTGAACCTCATGTGGCCGATGCAAAGCCTCGGTGCGACCAAACCTGATCGGGACCCTGCAGCTCAAAGCAGCTCAACGCATCGCCAGCAGCGGGGTGCGTCGCAAGGAGGCGCTCGTGCTCGGCTGATGCTCCCCCGCTGGCCTGACATTGACATACGCACCCGACCCCACTGCCTTGCACAGCACCCTGGGCGGTTTGGCAAGAGCCCTGGTTTACTTTGGGCGCGCGACAGGCGCGCCGAAAGAAGTCTTTACACAAACTCGAATGCCAGAAGAGGCGAAGATGCAGGTGTGTAGCACAGCTCTCCTTTGCGGTAAAAACAGTCCAGGCTCAGCAACTGGGGTGGAGAGGTGCCAAAAGCGAAAAGGGCCACATCTATCCCTCCTTAGCTATCCTGCAGCCCTGTAAATCTGCATGCTCGCAAGCTCGCTCACAGTAATGGACAAGCGAAATCCCACATACATTGCATCTACACAGGCTTCCACCAAACAGATCAGCCCCACCAGAACAAACGACACCTGCGCGCATCGCGCCGCCGCTGGCTCGCCTCAACACCCCCGACCGGCGCTCCAACGGAGCGGGCGCCGCCGCCTCTTGGCGCAGTCACAGCACAGCGTCGCGCCGCCTCACACGCCCTCACCCGCTGCTGAGGGTGGGCAGCTGCGTCGGCGTGCTGCGCCCCGTCACTAGCTGCAGCGCGTACAGCAGTCCGGACGCCGTCGCGTAGTCCAGCTGCCGCCCGGACTGCGCCTCCTGCAGCAGGAACCGCATCGTGCGCCGGCCTTCCGGCGGTGCGGGCACAGCGGCGATGGGGTCCACTTTTAGGTGCGTGGGGGCGGCCGCCAGGGGGCCGCCGCCGCGGATGACGCCTTCAACTATAGAGACGCCCATGCCGTGGATGACTGATGCCAGGTCAAGCAGGAGGCCAGGGCTGTCGGCCTCGGGAGTGATTGTCAGCTGCAAGTGTGTGTGCGTGTGCGCGTGTGT